TCCAGTGCCCAAGACTCCATTAAGAAATTGATTATAACGCGTAAACAAATGTGTGCCTGTTCCAATTAAGGCTGGAAGAGCCACAGCCACTGCTCCCCTGGAGACAGCTTCCCTGTATGACACGAATATAGCATGAGCAAGGGGCATTGACTCCATTGAGTGCTTCCCCAGTAAGGAAGGATTAACCCCATTGTGCTCCAGACTAGGAAAAAAAAAGATCAGGCCACAGTCCCAACAAAGGTAAGGCTGGAATGATGTATATAAGGGACACCGGACCCCGTTTCCAGCAGGTGATGCTTCCCACCAATAGATGGAGCAGCCCTACTGGCAAAGCCTCAATTCCGGTGGTTCTCTTACCACCACCGGGTTAGTGGCCTTGCACAACGGGGCTTTGTTTATTAAAAGAAAAAAAAAAAAAAGGAAAAAAAAAACGATTAACTCCATTGTGTGCACAATCAAGCTCTGCCCTACTCTCCTCAATTACCCCTACTTTAACCATTCTGCGCCGTGAGGAGTGGGGGAGATTACCATAGAGCAAAGAGGGTGATAACAGGGAAAAGAGGGTCTAGTAATTCATATTTCCCCCTTTTTTATTATTATTATTATTATTATTATTAATTTTTTTTTTTTTTTTTAAACACCCCCCCCCCCAGTGTTAGTGGTGAGCAACAGCAGTTAACACAAACCCAGCCCAAAGGGCAGCACACAAATTGAAAGAAAATATGAAGGGGTAAGTTCAGTAGAGTCACAAAAACGAGTTAGAATTGCACTATGGGGCAAGATACAGTTTGCAATCGCGCTTCGGGCACCCTACCTGGGCAGAAAGCTGGGTTGTATACATTGCCCGAACTGCAATTCCAAACTGTATCTTGGCCCATAGTGCAATTATAACTCGTTTTTGTGGCTCCCGCCTAGTTTTCCCAAATTGGGGGGAATCTATGCCTGCAAATCATCATACCAAGCCATGGCATAGCACACATACTGGAACACCCTAGCTATGAGAGGGCATGGCACGTGCCTCCCTTCTGACAAATTAAGTCTCCCACATACGAAGTTCAAAAGACAAAAAAAAAAAAAAAAAAAAAAAAAAAAAAAAAAAAAAAAAAAAAAAAAAAAAAAAAAAAAAAAAAAAAAAAAAAGTCAACCACCAAGTTGAACCCGAAAGGTGATCACTGTGCACTCAGTGACTGGCCTTAAGACCACCATGGACTTGAAAAGGAAAAAAAAAAAAAGAAAAAAAAAGGGAGGGTGCTAATTAGGATAGAGCATCGATATAAGCACATCACTAAGTGAGACCCTTCCCCTCAGAAAGGGAGGCGGCAAGACAAGATTCAGTCACTCTTATCTTTCATTCTTACCTTATCCTACTCTTTATATAAGCACATCACTAAGTGAGACCCTTCCCCTCAGAAAGGGAGGCGGCAAGACAAGATTCAGTCGCTCTTATCTTTCATTCTTATCTTATCCTACTCTTTATGGTACTGCCTGCTCTTATAGGTGGCTTTGGCAACTAGTTTGTTCCTTTTTTTCCTTTTTCCTTCTTCCCTTTTTTTTTTTTTTTTTTTT